CAACGCTCCCGCGGCCCGGTCCACGACCAGGCCTCCCGGTGGATCAGGGCCTGATCAACCAGGCTGGTACTGCTAGCTGCACGTAGTCCAACGTACGAACCACAGCCCGGCTGATCCAGCACCGACTTTAAGTATCTGTCCAGCTCCCTCTGGAAGGCAGCCAGGAACCTATTGGTAATTCCCCTTATGCATGGTGGGAGGCTGTTGAACAGTCTTGGGACCCGGACACTTATGGTAGAAAGATTATTTGGTCTTTTTGCCTTTGAGGTATCTAGCTCGAACAGCAGTTTCCTCATCTCTTATGTTGTATTGTGTCCAGTAGAAAGAATGCATATGCATATATAACACCAATGATATACATGACTGTGCAAGTTGTAAGTGAAGTTATGTTAATGGAGACAGAGCTCCAGGAGGGAGGGATCACGTCCTTACCCATCAGCAGTAAATCGTCAATTAAGATCAGTGAGAGAGGAAAGCAGGCTGCACTTGGCAGTTTGTCACATCGAAACTATGCCCATCATTCGTTATGCAAATAGGCTGTTAGGCTGTGCCAGGCACCATGCCATTTATTTTAAAGTGCCAAGCACCAAGTCATTTATTTCCAGGTGCCAGGCACTATGTCATTTATTTTCAGGTGCCAGGCACCTCCACCCGACTCACACATTATCACAACCCACGAAATCAATCTTGTAAACTTACAAAAAAAGTTAAAATGGAAGAAATACAAAGGCCTAAGCTACTGACAAAGCAAAATATCCTTAATTATAATCACAATCCTAACAGGTAAACAGTAATCATTAAATGCTAAACAAACACCAAATATCGTACAAGTGTGCATTACGAAACAAGTGAGGAATCGAACTCATGGCAGGCAAGTCCTAAAACTTAGAGATTAACTATACATCACGTTGAGCACAATTTAACATCACAAAGAGACAAGATTTAGATATATCTCAACATACGATATTTGACAGTAAATATTAGTCAATGTCTCCTTCCTAGATGTTTTAACCATCATGCTGAAATTAGCTAAAAAAAATAATTAATTTTATTTTCTTTTGGTTTAGATAAAAATTATTTTTGTCTTTATAAGTCTATCCAGTATAGATGGAAGTACCATCAGTGATGATTAGTGTAAAGTGGCGCCTCTCTCCACACTGCTTGATACATCCTTCTCACACCTCTCTCCTCTCCTCTCCTTGTCTCCCTCCTCCTCTTTCTCTTCCACTTTCTTTTGTTATTACTACTACTGCTACTACTACTACTACTACGATTACTACTAATAATATTAATACAATTGCTATTATTGCAACTACTACAATTACTATTTCAGTTATTACTACTTCTGTTTTTCTGCTGTTAAGTTTACTACTAAAACTACTACAGCAACTACATCATTTATAACGGCTTTATTACTACCACTACAGCTACTACAGTTGCTTCTACTACTACTACTACTACTACTACTACTACTACTACTGTTACTACTACTACTACTACTACTACTACTACTACTGTTACTACTACTACTACTGCTACTACTACTACTACTACTACTATCTACTACTTTACTACTACTACTCTACTAACTACTTTACTACTACTACTACTACCTACTATACTACGTCTACTTACTCACTACTACTACTATTACTGTTACTACTACTACTACTACTACTACTACTACTACTCTACTACTACTACTACTACTGCTACTACTACTACTACTACTACTACTACTACTGTTACTACTACTATACTACTACTACTACTACTACTTTACTACTACTACTACTATACTACTACTACTACTACTACTACTACTACTACTACTACTACTACTACTACTACTAACTACTACTACTACTACTACTACTACTACTACTACTACTACTACTGTTACTACTACTACTACTACTACTACTACTTACTACTACTACTTACTACTACTACTACTGTATACTACTACTGTTACTACTACTACTACTACTACTACTACTATACTACTACTTACTACTACTACTACTACTACTACTGTTACTACTACTACTGGGTTTCTACTACTACTACTACTACTACTACTACTACTTCTACTACTATACTACTACTACTACTACTACTACTACTACTACTACTACTACTGCTGCTACTACTACTACTACTACTACTACTACTACTACTAAGAATAATAATAATTCTTTAACTTTACGAAGCCAACAACAACAATTACTACTTTGCCTCCCGTCATTACAAATGCTCCTTTATACCTCATTACAATCAGTACCACAAACCACTACAATCACCATCATCCTCTCCTGTTCCTCCTCCTCCTCCTCCTCTCTTGCTGTGCCAATGGTGCCTTTATCTAAGATGTGGCGTGTTCTCTGCCCCGGCCCTACAGCAGTATGGGGGAAGCCAGCTACCCGCAGATCAGCAGGAATCCAATCCTCTGTTGTCCATCTCTGAGGTAACGGACACCTTACTCAACCACCACGACTAGACCAGGTGGTCTCCTGTCTCAAGGTAATGATGAAGAGTTTCCCCTTTTTTTCTATGTCTGTCTCTCTATGTCTCTGTCTGTCTGTCTGTCTGTCTCTCTCTCTCTCTCTGTCTCTCTGTCTCTTTCTCTCTCACTCTCTCTCTCTCTCTCTCTCTCTCTCTCTCTCTCTCTCTCTCTCTCTCTCTCTCTCTCTCTCTCTCTCTCTCTCTCTCTCTCTCTCTCTCTCTCTCTCTATCTCTCTCTTTTCCTCCCCACTCTCTCTCCCTCTTCTCAAGTAAGGTGTTCCTGTGCTGGAGGATGTACGATTATCGACATTATAAATTAGAACATACGTTGCTCTGAGCTTCCAATCATTGTAGTATTTTAGTTAATTCTAGATCTAAGACTCCTGCACTCTCACGTCTATCATTACTCCTGCTGCTGCTGCTGCTGCTGCTGCTGCTACTGCTGCTCCTGCTTGAGCACCTAAATGCAATCATTTGGCTAGAGAGACAACGCACTGACTTATTCAAATAACTTTCACATTTGTATATATATATATTAAATTAAAAAAACGCTCTTTTTTAAGTAAATAAAAACACTTGTAGTTTTTCATATATAACTGAATTAATACAAAGACATAATACCGTGACTGGAACAATACACAACTAACCCGCACATAGCAGATTAGTTGTGTATAAAACACTGGTTATTTTGTATAGCTGAATTCACGTGTAGGTGTTAATTCTGTTGATCACTGTTTAGGATTAGGTTATTAGGCTGCCTTTTTCTCATCAGATATGTTTTATTACAGGGGGAAGGAGGAGGAAGCTCTCTGTGGGAGCCCAGAAGTGACCTCTGACCAGCCACTCCTCGCCCAGTCATGAGGTCAGCTTGTGACCCGGTGCCTCCAGAGTCAGGGCATTGGGTCACCACCACCACCATCCATTAGCCAAGAGCTGCAGGTGATGGAGTCTCCACAACAGTCCACGACTCAAGATTTCCAGGTCATGGAGTCACCGCAGGCACAGCCCATGACGCAAGATTTTCACGTCATGGAATCGCCTCAGCCTCAGTCCATGACTCAAGATCGCCAGACTGGGATCATGCAGTCACCCCAGCAACAGTCCGCGGCGCAAGATTTTCACGTCATGGAATCGCCTCAATCTCAGTCCATGACACAGGACTTCCAGGTGATGGAATCGCCACAGGGGCAGTCCATGACTCAAGATCGCCAGACGCAGATCATGCAGTCACCTCAACCACAATCCATGGCACAGGACTTCCAAGTCATGGAATCGCCACAGCCACAGTCCATGACTCAAGACTTTCAGATAATGAAGCCACCACAAGAACGACAGCCCACGACTCAAGACCTCCAAACCCAGACCATGGAGTCACCGCCCCCACCATAACCCATGAGTCATCACAGCCCATGAGCCCTTACAGACCATGAGCCATCACAACCCTTCAACTCAAAATACAGAATATACGACTCCATTGCAGCACCAACGAAGCACATTAACAAAAGCTTCCATTTAAACCTAACTTCAGTTCCTTACTCGCCACGGCTGGAAGTGATCTAAGTCAACTCCAAATTCAGTGTGGCCATTGGAATTGAAATTGAATAGTTAGTGCTACTGCTGGCAAGCAAGAGGGACTACAGGAAATCAAAGAGGGTTAATGGAAGTTAGGTTAGACAACTGGACGATAAGCAGAACTTGTGGAAGGGAAGGAGGACCAAGGGAAATCAAGAGTTTCTATTGAAACTGGAATGCGGCTGTTGGATTTCAAGATGCTGAAGATTAAGAGTATGCAATCTGGGGCTCAACTAAGGATGCTGAGAAGCAGAGACACGTCGGTAGGAAATAACTCCACTATCCATGCTGCCACTGGATACTTGGAGCCTACCTCTCTCACCTCTACCATGCCTCCACCATGCCTCTGCCACACCTCCACCTCAGCTGATAAACCACTGTGGAGAACCTTTTGTAATAGCCTCAAACCCTGCCCTCACACATTTATATAGTGGTGTGAGTGCAGGTTCGAAACTCTGGTCTGAAATGTGGTGGATATGGCCGGCGAGACAATGGGAAGGAGTATTACACGTGTGGATTCATCAGTTGTGAAAGCGAATCTGAAAAAAGCAAATTTGACTTCACACACACAAAAAAAACATTCCTTATGGGTGATCCTGTTTTTTTTCCACAGGGTGACCTATTTTCCACAAGGTGACCTGTTTTCCACAGGGTGACCTATTTTCCACAGGGTGACCTTTATCTCCTAAGTTGCTTGTATTGGTCCTGTGAATAATAATATTAATACAAAATAAACAGTCCTTTAAAAGGCATCTGAAAATATGTGAAACAAACTCTTGTAAGATTTAAAAAGAAAGAGATGATATTTGATAAGCGAAAAACTTAAGGGTAAACTATTACAAAAACGTAGCGACAGATTGGCGATCATCAATGAGGACTCAGTGTGGACTAAGCGAGGAATCAGTGAAGATTCAGCGAGTATGAGTGAGGACTCGGCAAATACTAGCTAGCGATGAGCGAGTAGTTGCTACTTGTACTTAGCAAGTGCTCATCAGATTCTCGGGGAATATTCAGCGAGAACTCGGTGAGGGCTGACTAAGTCAGCAGCTTGTGTTGTGACGTGCTGACATTGTCCGTTACATTGAAACACAACACTGCGGCGTTTCTGAGGATGCCCTTTGGACTGAAGACAGCACCGAGTAGTAGCAAAGGGCACTGCGAGAGAGTTATTTAGTGTGTGAGTGAACGAGCTCGTGATTGTCTCAGAGTGAAAGAGGGAAGTAAGTGATTAAGCGACCAAGAGGGTAAAGAAAAATGAGTTTTAGTGACAAAGTGAAGTGAAAGATCATATTTTTCACAATGAAGCAATTAATAAACAATTAAAAGAAAATAACAAAATGTTCCATATTTGAGATCTAGAAATGATAAAGCAGAAAAAAATGACAAATTAAATGAGAGAAAATGGTTATTTTTTAAAGAAAACGTAAAGAAAATGGAGGAGGGCTTGGATTTATTGGGAGGGGGGAGTGAAGAACTTTTGGAATTTTCCAAGTGTTATGATGAAATTGTTTTAATATAATGAATGATAAGAGAGTGAATAGCAGTGGGGGCAAGGGAAGCCAAGGGGGCTTCAACCCCTATAATCTCCATTAACTAAACAAACCCAAGATACATAATAATAATAATAATAATAATAATAATAATAATAATAATAATAATAATAATAATAATAATAATAATAATAACAATAATAGAAATTCTGGAGCCACTCCTGTGTTTAGTGTATATTGAGTGTACAGCTGGAGGAGTGTATGAAGCATACACGGTGTAAGGAGAGTGTATGGACTATACTCGGTGTAAGGAGAGTGTATGGACTATACTCGGTGTAGGGAGAATGTATGGAGTATACTCGGTATAAGGAGAGTGTATGGAATATACTCGGTGTAAGGAGAGTGTATGGAGTATATTCAGTGTAAGGAGAGTGTATGGAGTATACTCAGTATAAGGAGAATGTATGGAGTATACTCAGTATAAGGAGAGTGTATGGAGTATACGCGGTGTAAGGAGAGTGTATGGAGTATACTCAGTGTAAGGAGAGTGTATGTAGTATACTCGGTGTAAGGAGAGTGTATGGAGTATATTCAGTGTAAGGAGAATGTATGGAGTATACGAGGTGTAAGGAGAGTGTATGTAGTATACTCAGTGTAAGGAGAGTGTATGGACTATACTCGGTGTAGGGAGAATGTATGGAGTATACTCGGTATAAGGAGAGTGTATGGAATATACTCGGTGTAAGGAGAGTGTATGGAGTATATTCAGTGTAAGGAGAGTGTATGGAGTATACTCAGTATAAGGAGAATGTATGGAGTATACTCAGTATAAGGAGAGTGTATGGAGTATACGCGGTGTAAGGAGAGTGTATGGAGTATACTCAGTGTAAGGAGAGTGTATGTAGTATACTCGGTGTAAGGAGAGTGTATGGAGTATATTCAGTGTAAGGAGAGTGTATGGAGTATACGAGGTGTAAGGAGAGTGTATGTAGTATACTCAGTGTAAGGAGAGTGTATGGAGTATACTCAGTGTAAGGAGAATGTATGGAGTATACTCAGTGTAAGGAGAGTGTATGGAGTATACGCAGTGTAAGGAGAGTGTATGGAGTATTCTCAGTGTAAGGAGAGTGTATGGAGTATACTCAGTGTAAGGAGAATGTATGGAGTATACTCAGTGTAAGGAGAGTGAATGGAGTATACTCAGTGTAAGGAGAGTGTATGGAGTATACTCAGTATAAGGAGAATGTATGGAGTATACTCAGTATAAGGAGAGTGTATATGAGATACACAGTTCTGCCATAACACACAAACGTCCTCTCTTCAGTGCATGTCACCTTGATGTTGGGGTAGTGCTCTTGAGCCCATTAATGGGAGCTACCCCCTTCCCGCCCCCTCCGAGTACCTGCCATTTTCCCCAGGCGCTCTAAATGAAACAAAAATTCTGGCTCTGCCACAACACAAGCTGCCGGCAGCCGCTTCGACTCTACGCCAGCTGCGGAAAGACACTGTGTGTGTATGTGCAGAGAAAAAAAGTTCGATATACAACGTTTCGCTCAAAGTGGACTTTGGTGAGACTTTGGACAGCGCGAAACGTTTTCGCTCCCCAAGAGAGCAACACAACGCTACAGACTACGTATTGATCTAGTCAGAGATTAAGTATATTAAATGAGTGTGACCTGGACGACGAGGTGTGGGAAACACTCCCAGGTGGAGAAACGTCGAAGGAAGAGCCACTTAACACTGTTAAAACGTGCATTAAAAAGAGTGAATTAAAGAAAGCTGAAATGTTAAAGCGATAATAAGAAAAAGAACAATAAACTTATTTAAAAAAAACAAGAAAAACACGTCCATAACAAGAGATTTAAAAGCCTGTGGTGTTTACACTATAATATATTATATATATATATATATATATATATATATATATATAATA